TGTCGATGCTGTGTCAAATTCATGTTTATAAAACCTTCACCATTGTCTTCAACTAATTTAGGAGACTTTTCAATCTATTCATTGCGAAAGTTTTATTTGACCCCTTCAATGAGTAACTGCCCCTGAAAGTTTATAATTTTTACAAAAATTAAAAATTTTCAAAACGAAAAGTCGTAGAGACATGAAACCAACTGCATAATATTCAATGACCTTTTGTCTTCAAATTCATTTCAAGGTCAAAGGTCAAGGTCATTCTAAATATGAGAAACAAATTTCTTTTAATAGCTTTTATGTCCTTAAACATATACGATCTATCTTATGTCTTTAATATGTACTTTTGAAACTCTTTAGAAGATATAAATCTTGGCCCCTCAAATTGACCTTTTTAAAAGTTGTTGCCCCTTGTGCTAAAAACCCTTGTTATCGCTACTCCTCTGAAACCATAAATCGTAAAGTTATGAAACCGTCACCAATGGCTTTGCCTAATTATGGGGACTCTTCGATCTATTCATTGCGAAAGCATTTGTTAACCCTTGCAATTAGTTATTGCCTCTGAAACTTTTTAAATATTACAAACAGTTAAAAATTTTTAAAAAGACAAGTTGTAGAAACATGGGACCAACTGCATAAGATTCATTGACCTTTGACCTTCAAATTCATGTAAAGGTCAAAGGTCAAGGTCATTCCAAATATGGAAAATTTAGCTCTTTTTATATCTCTTTTGTCTTTTAACATATACTTAATGTCTATGCATCATTAATATCTACTCTTAAAACTGTTTCAAAGATTTCAGTTTTGTCCCCTAATATTAACCCTTTTAAAAGTTATTGCCCCTTGTGCGAAAAACCTTGTTTTCGCTACACCTTTGAAACAGTAGACTGTAGAGACACCAAACCTTCACTAATATCTTAAGGGTCTTTAGGCCTTACGCAGCACAGTTAAGGTGCGCAATGGAAATATCAACTAAATTTTGTATTTAAAAATGTATTCGTAATCGGGAAAGCGATTATTTTAAGTACATTATTTATATCAGATAATTGTAATTATGATTAATAACTACATATCGAGGGCGATTATATTTTATATTTAGACTAGTCACGCGATGCTGCAGTCACGCGATTTAGCACATTGACTTGAAGTATTGATGTTACATATAAATGTCACTAGTGCAAGGGCATAACCAAGATAAATTTCCAAGTTTAGTATATAAATATTTTCAACACGCATTATAGTTTCTAAAAAATGCTGCGATCCTGTCTAAATTCTGCAATTTCATTGTTAAAATTATACTTGTATGACCGAATGCTATATTTTTTGCTGGTCAGCGGCATGAAATATTGATATAATTAAAATGTTTTTAAGATTTCATCAGGATCGCAACACTTTTCAGATACCTGAATAGTTCTATAGTTGAAATATAAAAGCTTACTTTGATCCATAGAGTGTATGCCCTTGCACTAGATCGATTTATTAAAACCCCCCACATTACCCTCCTATGTACTAGCATACAAATATACGGCAGTGTCAATTAAATACGTAATGTACAGAAAATATATTAATAAAATAGTGAAGAAGACATTAAATTCAAGTTATTGCCCCATAGAATATCTGTAAATAATATTTTATTTAATTAGAGAATGCATATTTTGTTGAGAAAATATTACTTGATCTGTCTCTCACTGCATACAAACTACGTCACGTTGTCAGAAATGACGTCATATTGACAAGTGTATTGCGATCAGTGACTTGTTTATAACTTGTTATGTGGGATTTAACTAACGACAAAACAACACGCTGTAGTAAGTTTCTATGTAGTTTGATGATTTCTTACTGGTTAAATTAGCAGATAAACTCATTTTGTGGTATTTTAAAGAAATGTTGTATGACGTATATTGTGTATGCTGTCATAGTCAAGTTTTCCCGTACAAATTAGGCTCCGCCTCCTTTTTGTAACCTTAACTGTGCTGCGTACTTCACTGTATAAGTGAAAATGGATCTGATTACACTTTATATCAGTTATTGCCCTTTGAGTTCTTTGTACTTACTATTATACCTTATAACTTGAAAACTATAAGTCAAAGAAGCATGTGGGCAACCGCATTGTGACACTTGACCTTGAATATTTTTTCAAGGTCAAAGGTGAAGGTAATTCATTTTTTTCACTATTTTCAATGCTTTAAGATGGTTTGGGTTTCTTTTTCATGGAATTTAATTTTTAGGAGTGGAATGACCTCTCTTTGTTCTGTGAACAATAAGTCTCATAGTTATTTTTCCGCTACGGACTTTTGATCCGAAAGATTTATTGAAAAACTTTTAAGTTCATTATACTAGACATCAAAAGTTATTTGAAAAAAACAACCCAACGTATATGACCTATGACACCTTACGGAGTTCTTGCCCCTTTTTACGCAAATTCTTGTTATCGCTACTCCTTTGTAACCATAAACCATAGAAATATGAAACCTTAACAAAAGTCTTCGACTCATTGAGGGGACTCTGGCATCTATTCATTGCGAAAGTATTCGGAGACCCCTTCAATAAGTTATTGCCCCTGAAACTTTTTGAATTTTACAAATAGTTTAAAATTTTCAAAACGAGAAGTCGTACAGACATAGGACCAATTGCATAAGATTTATTGACCTTTGATCATGAAATTAGAGCAAAGGTCAAGGTCATTCCAAAAACGAGAAATTAATCCATTTTTGTATCTCTTTTGTCTTTTAACATTTTATCATTAATATATACTCTTAAAACTATTTCAAATATTTCACTCTTGTCCCATGAGATTGACCCTATTTAAAGTTATCGCCCTTTGTGCGAAAAACATTCTTATTGCTACTGCTCCGAAACCATAAAACGCAAAGACATGAAACCTTCACTACGCAGGTAGGTTAAGGTTACAACAAAATATTCAACTTGCCTATATGATATGACGTCATAGTAAGCTATATGACGTGAATTTTAGAGATAGCAATTTCTTATAATCGATATCTAAGATTGATTTGAGGTCCTAAAACTTAATCAAAATATGCAGAGGCATAATACAAACAGAGTATTGTTGTTTCTGGGTCTCTGTAGTTATCACAGGGGTTAAATACCAAACCCGTGACGTCATAACTGTTTATCATGCAGAAGCAGAATGAAAGTGAAACGTAACTAAAATTAATGTAAACAAACACAAGAAATCGGAGTGTAAAAGCATTTAGAAAGAATATCATGTGTGATTCATGTGGGGGAAAAGGCTTATGAATAAGGTATGATAAATTAAAGCAGGGAGGGCGTTTACTTGTCGATCAGCCTTTCCTCTGTCGTTCGTAACAAAACGATGCAAAAGTTGAACACTATGCCGCACACTTTGAACCTTAATTTTTGTTTCTATCTAAAGATCTTATTCTATTGTTTTTGGAAAGTGCTGCTAGAATCGTATGGTTTACGGGAATTAACGCATTTTTTTTCTATGTTACGAACAAAATGTAAAAATTTTGGGGAGGTTTCGTCAGAATGTGTTGAATAATTATTTCTGTGATAGGACAGTGGGATTCTAGCAGCACTTTTCATGGTACAGAGATGTTTTTCCATAATTATTATTACAAATTGAAAAGTGTTGAACTTTTCACTTTTTCATTAAGGCATATTCTCTAATTATAGACGTCACGTGGTGACGTCGTGGTGAAGTGCTTCATGTAGTATAAGTCCCATTGAAGTCTATAGTATGCATAATTATAACAAAAGTTTTATGCTTGACTTTTCCGATTTATTAGTGTTACATGATTATAAAAATTCTTAACTCGCCGAATTTTGGTCCATGTGCTGCCTTAACATACCCGCGTAATGTTTTTAGGGACTTTAAGCACAACATTTATGTTCAAATGCGTAAGGATTTGGTGACTCCTTGAATGAGTTACAGTGGACCCTCATTTATCCGGACGCTATGGTTCCCAGTAAATTTGTCCGGATATGTGAAGCATCCGGATATCTGAATCACCAGTAAAACAAGACAATATAACATTTAAAAATTTCGTTCCCATGAAAAATCGTCCGGATACTGAAGCATCCGGATATCTGAGGGCCCACTGTACTGCCCTTTTATGCTTTTGTGCTTCGCATTAAACCTTATAACTTTAAAACTTTAAGTCATAGAGGGATGGGGTTAATTACAACATGACCTTTGACCTTGAATATAATTTGAAGGTCAAAGGTCAAGGTCATCTCCATTTTTAAAAACATTTTTTTTTCCTTTTTTAAGCCATTCCTAGTTTCCTTTTGATGAAATTCAACTTTAAAGAGATAAACATTAAATGAAATTGAAATTCAAAGAAGGTGGAAAGACCTCTTATTGTTCTGTGAAGAACAAGTCTCCTAGTTATACCTTATTTCTGTTCAACAAAATAAGGTATGCCCTTGCTCCGAAGCGATTTTGTTGATGTTTCTTATAAACGTGTGTAGTATAGGTCGATGGCGTCATAATATGACGTCATAATGTGTACGGGCTATCGCATATCGTGGGTACCAAGAATGTTCAAGAATACAAGTCAACACTTTCTGTGCGGTAGGTAGAGCACTTATGGAATTTAATTAGATATATGTAACCATAACTCACTTGCGTCGATCCTAGGAAATCTATATCATAGTAAATACTAGTAATCTCCTTTGCCCGTTACAGCATTTAAAGCAATCATATATAATTGACAATTTTCATATTGTGCTTCCTTCATCCTTCCTTTTTTTAACCAATCGCAAAAGAGGGGAGATACGTGTAAGTGCATTGTTCGAAGCACGTAAAATATATACTATATGCAGACTCTGGACGGTTGCTTTAATAAATGATGCTATGGATTATTATCATCATGCGAGAACTGCCTCTTCAAATTGATAATATATCAGTGTACTACATGTAAGATAAAAAAAGATAAGCTTGTCATTCCCAATGTTTATATTTTATTAATCCCGCGTAAAAAAAGATTTAAAAAATCAAACAAAACAAAACAACGACATGAAAAATTATGTGTAGCAAATTTGGATGATGCAAATGGTTAGACACGCCCTCTAGTGAGATTGTCTAACGTTTACACTTTGGGATAGCTAGCATGGGTGGCGATTCCGCACATGTTCTTCTTGTTTCTGGCCATCATAATGTATCCCTCCATCCCCCACTTTGTTCCCCAGCTATAGGAACAGAAAAAACCGTTTATATATATATAAATATATATATAAATAAAAAAACTTTAAAACACTTTTCGAAATATTTCAACCGTGTTACCGGCCTTCATCAATCGTGTTTATTTAAATGCATAGCAACTCAACAGTATTATGACGTCACAATGAACGTAGAAATTGAGAGGAAACGCCATGCAATAAAATTGCGCCAAAAACATCTGAAGATATTGTGAGAGCAGAAATTGTACTTATGTATCAAAATTTTTATCATACAGAATAGAATACTAGAATACGGGGTATATTAAAAATATGATTTTAAAGTATATATAAAAGTATATCTGTAAAAATAAGTATCGCAATGTCACACAAATGTTCATAAATCCAATTCAAAGACAGAAGTGTTCTCTTTTGTTAAAACCAAATGGTATATAAGTGTATATAGGATATATATATATATATATATATATATATATATATATATATATATATATATATATATATATATATATATATATATATATATATATATATAGTTTAAACTAGTTTAATTTTTTATGTAGATCTATTTCAAAGTATCGGATCAAAATTGCTTAAATATTTTCATTTTTGGATTGTACACTTTTTGTTGGTTAATTGTGTGACTTTGCCTTACTTAAAGACAACATTCGTTGAGGTGAGCTCTGTAATCTCTGATTACCTATGTTTTAATGATAATTTCAATTATACGATACATTTATGAATAACTTAATCTAGCACAATACCCTGATAATAAATGTATATAGCTTGATAAGCTATATAGCTTTATCAAGGTACTACAAATATCTTAATTAAGGTAATTCATGTATGAAAATACCCAAAAAAAAAACATAAAGTCGAGTTCTGAGCTGTTGCTAGAAAATTCATTTATGCATGTAAAGTACTCAGGTATCAAAAAGACAGCATAAAAGAATGTATGCTCACACGACATGCTTTTATACTGATTTCTTTGCGTTTGAGTCCTTTACATGCTTGGGTAAATTTATACTCTCAGCAATTCCGAAGTCGACTTTGAGTATTTATTTTTTAAGATTTTTTTTCTATATGTTTCAATTACATAAGACATCTTGATCAAGGTATAAGTAATACCGTGATCTAGCTATATAGCTTAATCAAGCTATATACCTTTATCAGAGTATTGTGCTGGACCTGTTAATGATATTATAGGATGAGAAACGTCATACCTATTTTTAACCAGCCAATAATCTTTGCTTCCCTCAGAGCCGTAACCAACAACTAGCATACCATGATCAACTTTGGTGGAGCTGCAGGCGGGTTCGCTGTAAACACCTTTCTTGTACAATTGGAATGATTTATGACCCGCGTCTACAGCAACGAAAATAGGGCCGACGGTAGCAACAGCTTCCTGAAGGGCACTCTCTGATTGGTGGGGGATAATCTTAACGTATCCGGTGTCAGTGGCGCCGACATGTTTTCTCTTGAATCTGCAATGTCCGGTCTAACATAAAAGAACAAATAATATGGGATCAGGGCGATTCGGTTTTTAAGGAACAAAACATGATTTGTACACAAAAATGTACACAAAAAATACACCCCACGCACACTAGGTCAAGTTTATGTCCTAGACCTTTATATAGCTATTTAAAATCCAACCGAAAAATTGGAGGTATTAAAAGA